GGGCTAAGCCGGTGCCTGGGGCCCTCCCACATCAGGATAGCTGGAGAAGAGCCGGGCCCTGCAGCCAGGCTGCCTTGGTTCAGGTCCCGTCTATACAACAGTTTCTTCATCTGAGCAGTGGGCATCATCACAGTGCCTGCCTTTGAGGGTGATGATTGCAGGCATCATCTGTGCAAAGCTCTTACCACAGTCCTGGCGCATGATGTGAACTGGAATGTTCACTCCTGCCATCATCAAGGACAAAATCTGGAAATAGGGTGCTACTGAAATTGGGTGTCTAACTGAAAAAGTGGTTGTATGTCATGCTCACTCCAGTAGAAGTAGACTGCACTGCAAGGAGAAATGAAGGAACAAACTCCTCTCTTCCTCTAAATAAAGCATGAAAAAGTAGCAACAGCGTATCACTTTGAAGGGGAGCACATCTGATCACAGTGTATCACATCTGGCGAGTAGCCTGCCCAGGGCACCCCCTGTGCCTTTGGGCATTCTGGGAGAAGGCCCCCGTGATGAGTAGAGAGGGGCTGCAGAGCTCAGCCAGGAACACAGTCTCAGAGCACTCGAGGCTGAGGGAGGAGCGTGAGCAGAGGGCTCTGTGGAGAGGAGGAGGGGGTCTGTTTTGTGAGACTGAGTGCTGGCCGTGTGAAAGGGAGCAGCAGGGAGGGGCAAGGCCAGGGAAGTCACGTCCTGCTTGGAAGGGCTTTGAATGCTGAAGCAAGAGCCTGAGCTTTGGCCTCTTGGCAGCGGGGAGCCATGGAAGGGTGTTGAGCGGTGGGGCCTGTGGTCAGCCTATCCTGGGGGAATTGCACACCTCACTCCTGCCCCCTAGAGGTTCAAGGACCACCTCATATCCTCCCCTCCCCCCCCCCCCCCAAAAAGGTCAGGAATTGGGCTGGGCTGGCCTGGCTGTGGTGACCCTGGTCTTCTCCTGTCTCCAGAGAGATCTTGGTAGAGGAGAGCAACGTGCAGAGGGTAGACTCGCCAGTCACAGTGAGTACCGTCTGTCCTTCCAGAGCCTACTTTGGTCTTTTAGGCACATGGACATTCCCCTTAGTCTTGCTGGCTCCAAAAGTCTGCCCTCATCCCTGGGAGCCCAGAAAGCCCCATGTTTCGGTCCCCTCCCCCATCTTCAAGGGAGCCTTGCTATAAGAAATGGATGTTATGGGAAGGGTCTTTTGATTTGTTGGGGGGATACTCTTGGCCAGGGCAGGACTTTTAGTTTGGTGAGTGATTCTGCTCCCCACATTTCTATGTTTTCTGTATTACTAGTACCTTTATTCTGGGTTACCTTGAGGGGAGTAGGGAGAGGAGGGGCTAGGTCCTCCAGGAGCTGCAGGTCTAGCTGGAAAGACCTGGCTCTAGTGTTTGCCCACAGAATAGTTGGCACTCATTGTGGGATGAGGGCACATTCCAGACCAGGCTAACTTGGGGTAGGAGAGTAGAGTTTTGGCCCTGAGAAGTAGAGGCTTAGCTAAGAGCAAAAAGGATCTACTAAAGCAGTGGGTGTTTTGAAGGATAGCCCCTGGGAGCAGAGGCTTTCGGACTGTGTGAGTTCTTGACCCCGCTTCTTACTTCCCAGGTATGTGGTGACATCCATGGACAATTCTATGACCTCAAGGAGCTGTTCAGAGTGAGTGTGGGGAAACACTGGGGAAGGTGACCTGGGGCGCTGACTGGAAGAGCCTTTATTGAGAGTGGAAGCTTTGAATTTAGTGTGTGGAGTCGGGGCACGAGGCCTCTAGTTAGCTGGGCCCTTCATGAAAGACAAGCCTCAACTTAACAGGAAAAGGGGCCACCACAGTGGGTGGGGGACAGTTTAGGACCAATTAGAACCTTCTCCTTCCCCCCAGGTGGGAGGCGACGTCCCTGAGACCAACTACCTCTTCATGGGGGACTTTGTGGATCGTGGTTTCTATAGCGTCGAAACGTTCCTCCTGCTGCTGGCTCTTAAGGTGGGAACCCCCAGCTTCTGGAGCCCACACCTGGGCCACCTCAGGCCTGACCTGCCTGCATCCTTTCCGCCCTCATCTCCTGCTCCGCCCACCCCCAACTCTGAGCTTAGCTGCTGGTGAGAGACAGATTCTGCCTGGCAGGGGGTGGTCAGAGAAGCTTTCCTTGACTTGGGGGCATCTCATTGGGCCCCTAGAGGATGAGGTCAGAGGGGCGGCATTGGAGGGGAGGGAATAGAGACTCACTGTGTTCAGAACATGGCAAGGAGTTGAGTTCAACTGGACACAGTGTCCATTGGTGGGAGAAAGGTGGTAAGGGGCCAGATGACAAAGCACCTTGAACGTCTTGCTAAGGGCTTGCTCTGTGCCTGGCGGGTGAGAGAGGAGCCATTAGGTTTGTAGTTGTTGGGGGCGGGGGCGGCTTTGCATCCTCTGGAAGAGGGCCTGCGAGCTTATCAGGTGGATGCAGCATGATTCAGGTAAGAGATGACATGAATCTGGGCCAGGGCAGTGGCAATGAGGATGGAGTGGGGCTGGCAGGTGTGAGGTGGTCTCCGAGGGGGAGACAGATCCCAGACCCCAGCCCTGGCGTGGTGGCTCCCTCCAGGTTCGCTATCCTGACCGCATCACCCTGATCCGGGGCAACCATGAGAGCCGCCAGATCACTCAGGTCTACGGCTTCTATGATGAGTGCCTGCGCAAATATGGCTCGGTGACCGTGTGGCGCTACTGCACTGAGATCTTTGACTACCTCAGCCTGTCGGCCATCATCGATGGCAAGGTAGGCCGGCCCAGGGCTCCACAGGGTTGGGAGGGGTGGGAGAGGCGCTGGGGCCCAGCCTCTCTTCCCTCCTGCCTTGCTCTCCCCTTTAGATCTTCTGTGTGCACGGCGGCCTCTCCCCCTCCATCCAGACCCTGGACCAGATCCGGACGATTGACCGAAAGCAAGAGGTGCCTCATGACGGGCCCATGTGTGACCTGCTCTGGTCCGACCCTGAAGGTGAGGGCAGGCGGGTGGAGCAGGGCGGGCGGGCTCTACCCTTGTCTGGCGAGAGACTGAGGGGTCCTGTGTGTGAAGCAAGTGCCTTGAAGGGACAGTCAGGCCAGGTGTTTGGGGAAGAGCAGAGTGGGCTGGTCATCCTGGTGTCCGTGCTTGACCTGCTGACGGGCTGGATCCCTCAGTGAGGGACTGGAGGGCGGGTAGCTGGGTGCTCTGAGCTCAGAGAGGGGGTTGGGGCCTGTACATCATGGTTCAGGGGCTTGTTAAAGACAAAACCATTGGCTGCTTGAATGTGAAGGGGCTTCTGCAAAGGGCAGGCTCCCAAAATGATACCCCTCTGAGGACCCCCCAGCTAGTGTGGAACAGAGCGAAGATTGAAAGCCTAGTCTCCCAAATACCAGTCCAGGGCTCTTTCTGCCATGACACACAGCCTCGGCTCCCTCACTGCCGTGCCCACTGCCCTGTTACCTGGGCTAGCGGGGACAGCCCTTGCTAGCATGGTTACTGTGAGTACCTCCTTTCACTCTTGTGTGTACCTGTTTGGACAGTAAATTAGCTGGTCACTCTGATTATGAGGTGGCTCCAACTGTCAGGAAATTCTTTGGAACTTATCTCCACCCACATTTGCTGTCCTATCCCCCAGGAGCCCCCGGAACACATTCAGGCCCTGTGCTCTTGCCCCATGAGTCTCACTGGGGGAGGGGGACAGGATAGTCCTCAAAGGGCAATAGGCAACCAGAGAAGCCTTGAGGACACCCTCTCCCTATCCTCACCTTCATTTACTTCAGACACAACAGGCTGGGGCGTGAGCCCCCGTGGGGCTGGCTACCTATTTGGCAGTGATGTGGTGGCCCAGTTCAATGCAGCCAACGACATTGACATGATCTGCCGTGCCCACCAACTGGTGATGGAAGGTTACAAGTGGCATTTCAATGAGACTGTGCTCACTGTGTGGTCGGCACCCAACTACTGCTACCGGTGAGCTGCCTGGGCCGGGAGGTCGAGGTGGGGGTGGGCATCTGGGCTGACACACGCCAACACTGCTGCCCTCTCACTTCCAGCTGTGGGAACGTGGCCGCCATCTTGGAGCTGGACGAGCATCTCCAGAAAGATTTCATCATCTTCGAGGCTGCTCCCCAAGAGACACGGGGCATCCCCTCCAAGAAGCCCGTGGCAGACTACTTCCTGTGACCCCTTTGGCCCCTGCCCCCCTCAGGGCCCTCTGGCCCTCGGACCACTGTGACTCTGCCCTCTTCTCCAGACGGAGGCTGGGCATGGAGGGGGGCTGTCCCTGGCTCTGCTCTCTCCCCAAAGAGGGCACTTCGAGGGTGAGGACTTTCTCTGAAGAGGCTCGGAGCTTCACTTCCATGCTCGTCCTCTCCTTTCTCCCCACTTGAACTATGAAGTTTCCAATAATTTTTTCCTTTTTTTTTTTTTGTTTGTTTTTAGATAAAAGTTTTGAGAAAAAGAAAAGAAAAAAAATTCTAATAAAAGAGGAAAAATGGTCTTTGGGTTTGTGTCAGACTTGATTGGGAATGAGCAGCGATACTGGCCTGGGACCTGGGGTGGTCATCAGGACCTTGGCTGCTCCAGAGCCCTGACTGCTCCGGAGCCCTGATCCTGCCAGGAAGGTGAGGCTCAGGCCAGTCAACTTGCCTAGAGCCTCCTGGTCCCCATCCAGTGACAGTGACCTCTCCCCAGGGCTTCCTGAGTGCCAGGTAGAGGGCTGGGTCCTCAGAGGCAGCCCTATTTATTTCTCAAGACAATGAGTGTCAGGACATGGATTCCCCCATCTTTCTGAAGAGGAAACAGGCCCGGAGCAGGTTAATGTACATGCACAAGGTCAGGCAGCTGGAAATAGCAAGTCTAGATCGGGGCCTGGGTCTTCCTGCAAAACCTTTTCTCACCCCGACGCTGCCCAGGGGCGAACACCCGCTAGCCCAATGTTTCCAGAGCACTGATGTCTTTAGAGTTTTATTAACCAAAACACTCTGGTCCTGAGAACAGATGGGTGTGGCTTGCGTTGGGACGAGGGGGAAGAACTTGCTGAGCCCAAGGGTGAGGCCGGGGAGGTGGGGGTGCTGGTCCGAGGCCCATTTGGCCAGGCAGAGCCTCCCTCCATTCACACTGAGGTGAGAGCTGGGAAGGGGAAGCTGGCCCCAGCTGGACTCGCAGCAGCTTAGCCAGAGCTTTGAAGCCAGAGGGGGTGGGAGTGAAATCAAAGTGTGAAGTGGAGTGGGGAGGCCCAAGGCAGCCATTTGGTGTGGGGGATGGGGCCGGTGGAAGCCAGGGGGCTACGGGCCTGGGGGAAGGGAACTGGAGGTTTGTAATGGAGGACAGGGAGGGAGGCAGAGGGGCCCCGCAATAGCTCAGTACATTGGTTTGGAGCCTACATCGAGGTAAGCCCCAGGTGCAGGGTAGGGCAGGGGGAAGGGACCCCCTTGGAGGAAGTGCGAGGCAAAGGGTGCTGGGGGTGCAGCTGCTGGGTATCCAGAGCCCCCTGGCCCAGGCTGCAGCTCCAGGAATGCTGCTGAGTAGGGGGCTGGGCGCCCAGAGTCTGGAGCTTCAGGGAAGCTGGGGTTCCTGAAGTGGAGAGAAAGGTGTCAGAACAGGGGAGCAGGACCCCCCCCAGCCTGGAACAGCCCAGCCCTGTGACCTTGTCCCACTTGCCTGGTTGGAAGGTGACCAGGGGCCCCATGGAAAGCTGCAGGGTGCAGAAGGTAGGCCTCGGCACTGGGGCCACCACATGGAGGAGCTGGGGCAGGGGCAGCTTCCCGGGGCGCTGGGGCCTGCTCTGGATCTGACTCACGAATGTCCCCACCCAGAGTGGAATCACAGGGACCACCTGGTGCATCTGGGGAGACAGAAGGGACAGGTTGGGCCAAGGAGGATCAGCATCTCAGGCCTGTCCCCATCACCACCAGGACTACACTCACCTCCACTCCCATAGGCCTCTGTGGCTACTGACTCTGGGCCCCGCAGTTTCCTCTTCACACGGGCGTCTCGCTCCCTGGGGAAGAGTGGTGGTGGTGGTGGTGGTGGTGGTGATGACGACAGTGATGATGGTGATGATGGTAATGATGATGGTAATAATAGCACTTACCAGGTGCCAGGCATTCCACCCTCCCAGGGACCCTATCAGGTAGGTGCCATTATTATACCCATTTTACAGATGAAGGAACTGAAGGCCAGAGAATTAAATGACTAGAAAGTGGCTGAGCTGGAATTTATTTCCCACTTGAAACTTTCCAATGGTTTCCAATTGTATTTAGAATTAATGGAAACTCCTTCCCAAGCTACAAGGCCAGGGCATGGTCTGAACCCAGCTCACCCCATCTTGCTCGCTCTGCCCATCTCCACTGTAGCTGCTTTTCAGCCCCACTCTGGAATCCTCTTCCGTCCCCTCTTCACCTGCTTAGCTCATCCTTCTTGTCTCAGTTCAAGCAGAACTTCCTCAAGGAAGTCCTCCCAACCTCCCACAGCACCACACATCCTCCCTGATAACATTTGTCATCAGTTCTGCTTTTACATTTGGTAGGGTGATCCTCTGAGTCACGTCTGTCTCTTCTGCCTGACTGTAAGCTCCTTGAGCGCAAAGGCCAGCTCTGAGGGGGCAGTACTCAGAATAGAAGCCAAAGTCCTAACTAAACCTTTACTGTCCAACATAATCTGGCGGGAGCTCCCCATCACCTCTCAACTTGCCTCTCCACTCCAGCTACACCTCAGGCATGCTCCCACCTCAGGGCCCTTGCACATGCTGTTCCCACTCCCTGGTAGGCTTTTCCTCAGATCTTCACATGGCTCCCTCTCATACTTCCTTCAGAACCTTTCCAGGCCTCTAATCTAAAATACCTCACTCCAGCCCTTCCTATTTTCCTCCCTTGCTTTGTTTCTTTTCTCTTTAGAACTTATTCCTAACATATAAGCTTTTATTTATTTCTCTTGTTTACCTGTCTAGTCTGCCCACTAGAAGAGACTCAGTTCCTGAGGGCAGGGACTTTAGTTTGTTTTGTTTACTGATGCACCTCCAGTGCCTAGAAGTGCGCCTGGCACAGAGCAGGTACTAAACAAGTGTCTGTCGAATCAATGAGTGAAGAAATGTCTTTACTTACCATTGTGTTCCTGGCATCCAGCACAGTGCCTGGCACATAGTGGGCGATTAATAAATATTTGTTGAATGAACGAGTGAACGAATGAACAATGCCCACCTCTTACAGTTTCTGCCATTCTCCCGGAAGCCCTTGGCAAAGGGGTTGGCAGCGATCTTCAGTTGTGTGATCTGGGGGCACACATTCAGGGTCAAAGCTCCCGCAGCCTGGGCAGGGCGCCGCCACCCCCTCAAGCAGGCTCACTTACCCGTGGGTTCTGGTAGGCTGTCACGGAGATGAATGTGGTCTCAGGGAAGCGGAAGGAGGCAACGCCCCCCCAGTGTTGGCTGCAAAGCTGGGCGGCCCGCACCAGGTGTACGCGGGGCTGGTACTTGTGCATAGAGTGCAAGATCAGCTGGGAGAGAAGAAACAGGAGTGACCTCCTGCCCCGGGCCCCAACCCCAACCCCCATCTGGGGTCCCAGCCTGGGCCTCACGTGGCCGTGGGGGTCCAGTGTGCTGTTGGTGAGCTTGACACGATGGAAAGACACAGGCTGCCGCATCCAGTGGGCACCAGTGGCAGGAGAGTCAGGGTGAATGTAGACGCGGTCAGGCAGGCGGGGCTCTGCCTTGCCGCTGGGCTCCCAGCGCCGGCCCTGCCAGCGGTAGCGAGCCCCGTCCACCGGAATCACATCAAGAAGAAACAGGTAGCGGGCCTCGGGGTCCAGGCCGGTGACTGATACCCGGCAAGCAGGGAACATGCGCCTGGACAGGGAAGGGGACGAGAGAGGCCTGGAGCTACCCACTGGCCAGGAGTGGGCCCAGGATCGGCAAGGGGCCATAGGCACCAGCTCATCCAGTTCTATCAGAGAAACGTTGAGGAGGTGGAATCAGAACTCAGAGGGCAGGGTCTTAGAGCTGGAAGCTCATCTCATCCCATTTCACAGATGGGAAACAGGACAGACAGGTGATCTGACCAGGGTTACACACCAGGTTAGGAGCAGAGCCCAGACTCCTGACTCCCGGCTCCTCAAACTCCATTTGCAGAAGCAGAGGTGACACGTTTTTCTCTCGGAAATCTTGCCAAGAGCCTCCTGCTCCCCACCCTGGCCTCCTCACCTGATCTCCAGCACCAGAGTCTACAGCACCTGGACAAATGTGCTTCAGAAAAAAAAATGCTGTGCCTTCAGTGAGGCAGAGGACTTACCAAGCTAAGGCCTGAGCTCCTGGCCTAGATAAAGACCCTGATACAGGCTACACACTGACCACATCCTTGCCTCCAGGGTGACCCAGGACCTTGTCACATACTGACCCCTGATCCTGCCCAGATTTCCCTGATGCTGGTCACTGGCTGGCCCTTGATTCTAATCATAGTCTGAACTCTGACTCCAGCCACAGACTGACCCCTCATCCAGGCCACATACTAACCCATAAACCAGCCAGACTTTCTGACCCCAGCCTAGACTGACCTATGACCTTTGCCATAGGCTGGTCTCTAAACCAGCCACAGACTCCACAGACTGACCCTTGACCCTTGCCACAGAATGACCCCTCACCTAGGCCACAATCACATTGTGAACTTAGGCAGAGCTCTAGGCCCCCTAGAAACTCCCACACCTAGCCCCCTCACCAGGAACTCTGCTTTCCCAAGAGACCCCCACCAGGAACACCCTGGGTCCTCTGACCCTGGCCTAGCCCCCTCACCTCCCAGCTTTGGTGATGATCATCTCTGTTCCCACGGAGTTGAACTCTTTCCACAGCTCCCGGTTCTCCAGGCTCAGGCTTACTCCAGGGAGTGATTGAAGGGCCTCTGGGGCTGGGGGGACTGGCTCAGTGCCCAGGGCTGGGGGCAGAGGGGGCAGAGGTGGGGGAGCAGCCAGGGGGCGGGGAGCAGCATCAATCCCAGAGAGGAAGCAATCCAGTTTGGGAGTGTCCAGATCTGGAGACGAGGGGAGAATGAGGAGTCAGCCAGGCGCCACAGCACCCCCCCAATCCACACACACAGGAGCTCATCCCAAGCTCACCAGGATAGCGGTAGCCCTCTGCCAGGGTGGGTGGGAAGCTGGAATCTGCCCCAGGCTGGGGCGGCCCAAGGCGGTAGCCGGTCCCCAGGGAGGGGTACAACTCCCGTGGATGGTACATGGAGTAGTCCTGTTTAGCTTCAGGTCACACTGCCTAGAGTCCCCCAGTGCTGAGAGATGCCCCCTTTATAGCTCACAGCTCAGCCTCTTCCAGACCCAGGATCACAGCCCCTCCCCTCTTTGGGGCCCTGGAGTTGGGCTGGGGTGGAGACCCCTGGGGCCTGGAAGGGGTCCAAGAGGGGGCCGGATACCTGGGTACCCTCCCCTTCTCCCCTCCTCCCCCCAGGCTTCATTAGCCCCGACCCCCTGCCCCCTCATTACATAATTAACTCCTCGGCCTGATTGATCCCCGGGGCTCGGACAGGGACGCAGTTTGGCGCTTCCGGCCAGCTGGTCCCCGTTCCCACGGGGGGAGCCCCGGCTAGGGATAACCTACTGAGGGGCGTGACCTGGACCCTGGGATGGAGCCTGGAGTCCCGGGGCAGACTGTGGCGCCCAGGCTTTTCTGGCAGGTGACCTCCCTTCACTTGAAGGACAGGGCTTGAGGGACTAAGCATGACTGGAGGGAAAGAGCAGGGCTGCAGGGACACGGCCTGAGCTTATTGTTACTCGGACACTGGGGACCTCGAGGAGTTCACAGCCGAAGCCTGAATCCTGCAGTCCTTCCTGGTTCCCATTCTGAAAAGCCTCCACCTTCGGCCAAGTCTCAAAAGTTTAGAGGCGCCGGCGCAGCTCGACAGTCCCTGACGGCTGGTGCCTGGGTTTCCCAGAAGGTCCCGCGCTGGGGAACCCTCGGAACTACACTTCCCAGCAGGCCCAGCGCCGAGACTCGGCGCAGAGAAGACAAAGAGTTGCCGCTGGGGCCGCTGGAAGTTGTAGTCGAGACGAGATGGGCGGCGAAACTGGCGGCGCGGTTGTCTCCCAGGAGAACTGCCCCTAGGCGGCGGCAAAACGCTAAGGCCGACAAGACGCAGATCAGCCGAGGTCAAGGCCTAGGGAGCTAGAGTGGGCTCGGGGATCTCCACCGGCAGTGAGACCCGTCCTGGGTCCTAGAGAAGATGGCTGAAGCCAGGCCCCAGGAATGCAGGCTCCCACCTTTGACCACCGTGCCTACTCCATGCCCCGTCGGGACTCAAAAGGGAACAGGTCTATAGAGGCAGGAATCTGCGTGGAGTCCCCCTTTCCTGGATTCCACATGAGCCTGGGCTGTCTCCACTCCATTGTTTTATTATGTACAAACGCTACAGAACAAGGGGAGCAGACGCGCATGGGGTAAGAAGGGCCCGGTGGGAGGAGAAGTTCACAGGGCAGACGGTGCACTGGGGCCAAGAGAGCAGCACGTAGGCCATATCTATAGGGAAGGCGGGGCAGGAAGGGGTTAAAAACGAGATCCAAGCCAGCCAGATCGCAGGGAGGTGCGGGGGTGTCGTCCACCTTCTGAGCTCCCCCCAAGGTCACAGTGCATGCAATAAAATATAAGTACAGGAGCTGGATCCTTCCTCTGCAAGGGCCCTGAGGGTCCAGAGCTCCCTTCGGGTGGAGGGAAGCCAGTGGCGCCCCCTGGCGGCCAGGCCGGGCTGGAGCCACATGCGGCAGGAGCAGGGGTCAGTCCCAGCCGTTGTCTTTGATCATGTGGTTGAGTTCAATGATGTACTTCCCCTCTTTGTACTTCTGGCTGCTTTCGAAGGCCTGTTCCTGAAAGGAGGAGAGAGGCCGTCATCTCTGAGGCAAGGGCGTTACCAAAGGGATAGGGCTTGGGGAGTGGATATGATTGGCCCCATTTTACATAGGAGGAAACTGTCACCCAGAGAAGCCAAGCCACCAGCACGCAGACAGCTGGTAAATGGCAGGGCCAGGTTTCTCACTAACAGGGGATAGACAAAACTCTATGAATCACGGGTACTTTTTAAGTACTAATGGTGGCTCCAACAGAGAGGATATGGAAGTTTCTAAAAGATCCGGGGATTACAAACCAGTAGCCTGAGGGCCAAATTTTGGCCTACACATATGTTTTGTTTGGCCAGTAGAGAGTTTAATAACTTTAAAATACTAAAATAGAGGCAGACCATGCTCACTCCAGTTTGCCAAAAACTGTCCCGCCTTCCCAGGTGTATGTTGCCCCTTTTGCAGATCCACAGTATCTGCTTGGCCCTGCAAGCACTTGAGTTTTTAACCCCTGGATTAGGCCACCTCTTTATTTCCCAGCGGTCCAGAGAGGCAAAGCCACCTGTCTGGGGACACAAAGCAAATCTGTGGCAGGGCCAGGGGTGAAGTCAGGTCAGGGCTGTCTGTCTGCCGGTCTCTGCCTGGGGCATCCACCTCACAGTGGCATCACAGCTCCAAGCGATGCCTCAGGAGTCCTGTCCCTTGCAGTTCCTCAAGAGCATCTTCTTTTGCTGCATCTAATCTGATCCCCATAACAATTTTGGGTGCCAGGTAGCAGCTTTATCCTCCACTGCCAGATAAGGAAATGAGACTCAGGGCAGTGAAATGAGACCCTGGACAGCAGCAGTGGCAGCGAGGGCAGTGGAAAAGGAGGCTCATGGACCCCGGCTCCGTGTTGCTTGGGCAATTTCTCTGATCCTCTGAACGGGAACAGAAGCTGGGGGTCAAGGGTTTCGAGTTAAAAAACAAAACTAGAATTCTGGTCCCTATTCTGTTACTTACCAGTTGTGTGACCTTGGGCAAGGTACCTAACATCTCTGGGCCTTCCTTTCTTCTTCTGTAAAGTGGAGATAATAATAGACTCTACCTACAGGATTGTTGTAATGATTGAATGAGATAATATATGCCAAGCACATAACAGTGCATGACACATAAGCATTCAATAAATGGTAATTCTGATTATATCCTCATCTCTAAAATGGGGATACTTGTGCCTGTGAGGAGAGGGATGGGTTAAGAGAAAAATTCTAAAAGCCCTTGTAGGATGTGAGGGACAAGAACATGGTCAGAGAATGAAAAGACAGTTTGACTCATGTGAGCTGGGCCTGTACAGGCTGAAAGATTACCAGATGACTGCTTGTGATGAGGTGATGTGAGGTCAGGTCAAAGGCTAGCCTGGGGTGAGAGGTCACTGACTCACATATTTCCAGCCCAAAGTGGTCTTGCAGTTCTCGCAGTGGATGTCAGCGACAGCATGGAGGCCTGTCAGCAGCACCCGCTCCTCGGCTGGCCCGCAGCCCACGTTCACCCTGCGGCGACATGGGGGCAGTCCCAGGGAGGGTCCCGCCATCACCAAGCCCCCCTCTATCTTGTATCCAACTGTGTCTGTCCTTAGTGTCCAAGAGAAGGGCCATAACACCTTCCTGCCTGAACCAGGGGACTCTAGGAGTCTCAGCATGATGCCAGGGGTCACAGGTCACAACAGAGATCAGAGAAAGAAAGAAGGATGGGCAAATACTCACACAGAGTTGAAGAGGTAGGCACGCCCCTGACTGCCCTGGAAGGACTAAAGGGTGGGAGGGAGAGAAAAGGGAGGTCAAGGCTATTGGTGGGGAGCTGCCAGGCAGCCCCTCTAGCCTCGCATTTCAGCCCCGACTGTGACCTGGTTACCTTAGAGATGAGGTCGTCGTGGTTGGCCAGGTGAGCGCGGCAGTGGGCACAGCTATACCTCCGGTGACAATCATCCAAGTAGGCCTGAAATGTCTTGGGCTTTGAAATCCGCACCATGGCGGGGGCCGGGGGCAGTGGCCCCACGCGGGGAGCGGCCCAAGGGGAGCAGAGGGAGCCCAGTGCCTGCCGGAGAGGAAGTGAGTGGGCTGTCAGGAGCTGGGCCACACACATACAGGCACGCCCAGGGCCACGGGGACTCTCTCTGTCACACTTGGCTGCTGTCTCCTCTCCCTAGAGCCAGCAGCCTCTCCAGGGGCCAGAAGCGTCTCAGTTTAGACTCATTGAGGAGGCCTCAAGTTGCATGAGTAGAGAAACTGAGGCTAGGAGGAACTCAGGATGAGTCACCCACCTGCTTTCAGCCCCACCCCTGCTGACCTGGCAATTGAAGCTGGAGGAAGGGGCTTTAGCGTGGATGAGCTGTCAGTTCTTCGTTTAGAGGGAGCAAGGAGGGGTTAGGAATTGGATGGTCCTTAGGACCTCATCTGAACGGCTGGGCGAAGGGGGACGGCTTCACTTGAGGTACAGGGAGTTCACATGGGGAGAGGGTCCCTCACTTGCAGAAGGCAGGAGGCCTCACTGAAGGTGGAGGGTCACCTAGGAGGGAGGGGCTCTTACCCGGGGGCGCTGAGGCCTTGTCTATGTCGGGGGGGGTCTTACCTGCATCGCGGAACCTTACCTGAGACCCCGGGGCTCACCCGGGGCGTGGGGGTGGGGGGCGGGCGCCGGGGGAAGGGGGCAGTCCTCGCTCAGCTTGCGATGCGCACCCGTAAGTGGAACGGGCATCGGCTAGCCTTCCCAGCTGCCCGGACCACAGACGCCAACACCCCCCGCTCCCCACCACACGCCGCCTGCCTGCCCGCCCGCCCGCGCCCCGCACGCTAGC